GGCTTAATTCTTGAATTAAACAGTTGAAGATACGTATGACTTTCATAGCCCCATTTCTTCACCTTTCCTGTGCCTACACCATTTACCATGTAACCCTGAAGTGCCCTCCCACTCTGTCTCCAAGTTATGTGACTTAGTTTGGCAAGTGGGAGCATAGCACATAGGATGTAATCAGAGGGCTGAAAAACCACTTCCGTGTTTTCTCTCCCTCTTTCATCTCTGTTTTGGCCATATGCACCTACCTCCCTAGGTCTGCTGACAATCAAATGATCCTAAGACATGTAAGCAAGCTCAGATACACTGAAAGGCATCTCCCAATGATTCCCACCTCCTAGTGTTCATACCTTCTTGCAATTCCCTCCCCTTGAGTGTGGGTGGGACCTGTGACAAGTTCCTAATCATTATAATATGGTGTTCTAAAGGACCCCTCACTAGAGTCGCTCTTGCCCTCCAGCTGGCCTTGAAGAAGGAAGCAGCCATGCATGAAATGTGGAGAGACCCATGTGGCAGAAAAAAAGAAAAAAAAGCTGTGGTAGGTCTTTAAGAGCTGAGGGCCTCAGTCCCGCAGCTGTGAGGAACTGAATCCTAAATACCCTGAGTGAATTTGAATCAGACCCTTCTCCAGTTGAACCTCCAGATGAAACCACAGCCCAGCCAGTACCAATGGCATCCCAATGAGACCCAGAAGCAGAGAACCCAGCTAGGCCATACCTAGATTCCCAACCCACAGAAAGTGTGAGATAATAGATGTGTTATTATTTTAAGTGACTGAATTTGTATAATTTGTTATATAGCAATAGATAACTGAAACACCAGCCAACTCCAAAACCACTGACCTGCTCACAGATTTGTGACCTAAATAATTGCTTATTGTTGTATACCACTGAGTTTTGGGGAGGAGCCAAGTTGTTCCCAATCATCTCAGCTGTGGCCATTCTAGAGGAGCCAATCCCAAGATGTGTGAGCAAGCCAGCCAAGATCATTACAGTAACCTATCTAAGCCAAATATGACTACAAACAAGCCCAATCAAACAAGCTGAGTCCAGCACAGATCAGCTAAACCCACAAACTCATAAACTAACAAGATAATGATTGCTGTAGTAGCTGGGATGTCCTAGGTTTTAGGCAGTATTATTGTAGCAATAGATATTTGATATAGTGAGAGTAAGATTTTGTTGTTATTCTTTCGTTATATAAATCTTCAGATAGCCATACCTTGGACAAATACCTGTACCCTGGGACAACTTGGATACTGTTTTTTATTATCATTTTTATTCATTTATCCTATTTTCCCACATCTATCTCATTAGAATTATGAATTCCTTGTATCCAGTTTCTAATACTAATTTCAGAGAAATAACAATCTGTAGTTCTCAAAGTTCATGCTTAATGTACACACATACACCCATACAAACACACTCACACATGCGTACACACACCATGACCTGAATATTTGGGAAACTTGCTAAGGCTCTTTGTATAGAAAGTCAGTGCTTTGATTTAAGGTTTGCTCTTTCAATATATGCTGTAAGTTTCTTGCCATTATCACTAAGTACCAGGAAATATCATCCTAGAGACACTGTTCTATGGTCTCTGTGGGTCTCAAATGCATGTATTCTCCATTCAAAAGCAATTTATCCCCTCTGATCTTAGAGAGTAAAGGATTTCCAGGTTGAATCCACCCTGTGAAAGAATTCTATGATATGTAGCAATGACAAACCTAGAATACTTCTTGTACTGAAATGTTCAATCTTCACCCTGATGCAGCTGCTCTGGGAAGGACTTTAAATTGTTATAAGTCTTCAATATAAATATATATGATTAAACTAGCCGCCCCATGGAAATTACTCCCATAAATGAACAGATTAATGTACAATGAAACACCAGTATTGGGGCAGTGGGGTTTTGTGCTGATTTTAATATTGGTATTTATTCCTCTTGTTTTTTGTTATATTTTATTTTCACATCCACTAAAATGGCTAAAGTAAAATGATAGTCAATATTAATTTTTTACAAGGATGTAAAGGAAACTAGAATTCTCATTCACTGCTGACTGGCATGTAAATAGTACCTGGCACCACTTTGGAAAGCTGTTTGGCAGTGTTCTCTAAAGATAAATGTATGTGTAATTTAAAAACCCAGCAGTTGCTCTCTAACAAAATGCATGCATGCATATGTTCACCACAGACTTATGCAGGGATGCTCAAAGTAGCACTATTCCCAATTCGGAATGCATCTAATTTTGTATAATATACTATAATTCCCTTTGGTAACTTCAAATCCATTGAATTTAAGACTGATGTATACACTAGTACTGAAAATCCTATATAAAGAGTCAGATTGCATTTCTTTCCTTTCTTCAAACCTCTTCCACACTAATTTCAGAAGATTTTTCTGCTGTTTCTGTTGGAGATTTTGACGGTTCACCCACCATGATTGTTTAGCCAAACTCATGAAACTAGAATCTAAAATGCTGCTTGAATGGTTGCAGGAAAGTTTTCCTTATAACATGATTGATTGTCCTTTAGCTTGGAAAAGAATATTTTTCATTCAGTATAGCACAGCATGCTGTCACTACTTCCAAAACTTACCAGGAAGCTACATCTCAGTCCAGAGAATACAATAGGAAAACAAAGCAAACTAGAATCCAATGGGAAGCAATCAATGTATGGACCAGCATCTTCCACAACTCCAAATCTCTGGGAAATGGTCATTTTCCTACTTCATAATTAAGGAAATGGGATCGTGGATTTTGCCAAAGTCACACAGCTAAAGAGCAGCACAACTTTTTTCAGAAACCACAACCAATAAATAAACTTCCATATAATTCTGTTTCTGTCGCCAGACATTCTCATATGAGCCAAAGAAGGAATAGTATCTACACTGTTGTAGATACTCTTGAACACCAGAGATGATTCTTCATAATATTACTATGGCTAAATATAGTCTACCTTTTAACTCATATGGTCATGTTTCCAGTTTACAACTGAAAAGTTGGGAACATGGAATCACTTCCTCTCTGTTTGCCTAAACCATGGCCTATATAAATACAGAATCATTTATTGACAGATGTCCCCAAATATTTTGGAGCATAGACTTCTTGACTAAAAATTGCACAAAAAGTTATGGGTTTCAATTAACATTAGAGTCTACTGTAATATTCTACAATGCATACATTCTATAAGAAGAAGAAAGACTACCAAACATAAGGAACTAGAGGCCTGAAGAAGGACACGATTGCAATGTTAAAGAAGTAGTTCTCTCTGAACCAGAAGTGTCAGTATTCATTAAAACAAATAATAAACCTGGCCACATCCCACAGACTAGAAACAATCAAGAACTTGGGCCAGGCATTTTGGTTCATACCTATAATCCCAGCAGCTCAGGAGGCTGAGGCAGGAGGATTGTGAGTTCAAAGCCAGCCTCAAGCAAAAGTGAGATGCTAAGCAACTCAGTGAGACCCTGTCTCTAAATAAAATACAAATTACAGCTGGAGATATAGCTCAGTGGTCGAATGCATCTGAGATCCATCCCCAGTACCAAATAGAGAAAAAAAAATTGGGAAGGGCCTTAAAGGTGACTGCAGTAGACATTAATTACTATGCACTACTCCTCATTGCATTTAGTCCCAGTCTTTTCTACTTTCCTTATTTATTTAATCTCTGTTCCCTTTCTTACTTCTTCCTCCTCTTAATGAGGACTTGCACCTGGCAGTAGCATGCCTAGTACAGTTGACTTTCCTCTCAAAGTCCTTGTTTAAACACACTGATATTTTAGATTTGTTGTTCAGATCCCATAACTACAAAACTAACACTTACCTACCTCAAATGCAAATGCAGCTGCTAGAGAAAGCCCAATTGATTTTATTATAGCACTTTAAATGATAGCTTTCCCCTCAACAGAGCTTGCAAAGTATAAACTTGTTTTTACACCAGATTCTCTTTTTAGAAGTTATAGACCACTCAAAAGCAAGAATGCCAGATTCCTAAAAGAAGACCTCTTGTACATAGGAGATACTCAATAAAGAAATTCTAATTCATTTAATATAATGGTCCTTCCTAATGCTTTATAAAAGAAGCTCAACAGTTTCGTTATGAAAGATGAAGAACAGAATCAGAGAGAATTCAGATCTTGGGTCATGAACCAAAGGAACATTGAACCCAAGCATCATGTTCTCAGATGATTCTCATGATACCACCAGTTATAGCAATGAAAACCAATTCTTTTATAGAAACTTTAAAGGAAATACAAAGCAATTGATTTCACATGCTTGACATGGCTTCCCAAAGCTAGTGAGCTGCATACTCTGCAATCCAGCTGGGGAGTCTATCTCGCTGACCTCTTGCACCAAGGAATTCCTCTGGTTTCTATTTCTAACTTTTTCAATTGTGCAACCCTGTTCCTGGGATGGGAGATCTGTTAGTATGCTTGAGAATTTGTTGCCCTTCTCTTAAGTTAAACCATCAATCTTTGAACAAGAGACATTTCTCATCAGCAAACTAAGTTCTAGGCAGAATCTTTGGGTGGATATTGTACAGACCAGTAGACCTGGACTTTGTAAGGACAGCAGCGCCAACATTCAAGAGGAAAGAAGGAAAGCTTACTTGTGGTGTGATTGTCCCAATTTTAAATTCAAAAGATGTTATAAATGTATAAGATGTTATATATGCAGTAACAACATAGATGTAGGCAAACCACAATAAGTGAAAGGCATTCAGGAGAACTAGTATGGGGTGTGGGGATTAAGCATATAGAATTAACAGTATAGCTGTTTATGATGCAGAGATGCTCCAGACTACCCTTTGAGATAAGCTGAGGAACTGAAGTGTATAATATCTTATATCCAGGCCTAGAACAAAAACCAAGCCAAAATCCTCAATGAGCATGGCAAACATACAGACCACCTTCACATCTCAAATTCTTTAGTTCTACCTTCTTATGTGACCATGAATATTTTCTTTATGCTGCTCAGTACTGTGCCATCCTTTTATTGTTCTCATATCCTTCCATTTCCTGATTTGCTCAACCAGCCCTCTATATCCATATGTTCTAAATCCAAGGATTCAACCAATGGTGGGTATGAAATATTTTTGTTTTAATTTGCATCTGCCTTAAACATGTACAGAATTATATTCTGGTCATTATCCCTAAACAATAACTAAAAAGCTATTTATATATCATTTATATTGTACTGGGTAGTATAAATATTGTAGATGTGATTTAAAATGTATGGGGATTATATGCAAATACGACAATATTTTAGGTGAGAGATTTGAGCATATGCAGACTTTGATATCAACAAGCAATCCTGGAGCCAGTCTCTGTAGATGCTGAGGATGACTGTGGAAATGTGTACTATGGAAATGAAACCTGCAACTTATGTTTCCCATGATGCCATACCACCTGGCTTCCAGAGAGTTTCATCCAGCAAGAGACCCCATGGGAGAGGAGATGACAAAAAACAAAGAGACCAGAATACTTCTCCCTATCCTTGTGGGTCATAGGTGGTGTCTCAAGTAGCAATTGGGCCTTCTTCAAGGGTTTGGTTCCTGCCAGAGAGGCTGCTAATGTTCCAGATTTTGCTTGGTGGCCTCAATTTCCATCCCAGAGATTCACTTCCTCCTTGTGCTTCTAGCCCCAGGAATGATAACAGAATCCTGACTGTTCATTTCTACATTTCCTCACCAACTTTTATGTGGCATCTCAGATCTTCCACCCACTCTGCATCCAGTTTCCTATTTTAGATTCTTCTGAGTTTGAAATAGATCAGCTTCAGTTCTCCAGACTGACTCCTAGAGAATTTTTGTGCCATCTAGCTTGTGTGTTGGCCGTGGGCTGCCCATTACAGCACCCATGAAAGGTTGACGTTCATCAACCACTGCTCACAGTTGAGTAGACAGGTGAAGTCCCCACCTTCTCTTAACACCCCATATTTCTCTCTTCCAAGATTCCAAAACCAGAGACAAAACACATCACTGAGTTTTAGACTGTCTTTCACCTACTCAGTCTGTATTTCCTATCCCCAGGATCTGAGGTTGGCTCAGAATCAGTAAAAAAAAAATTCAAAGTGTGAGAGAGTTAGAGCTGTTTTTTCAATGGAATAACATTGAAAATTTGAAAGTCAATGAGTAATTTTAGGAATTATTTCAATGGGGACTCTCAACATTATACACGTAGAGGGGAATTTCAGGAAGAAAAAGGATAAAAATTTAGCACAAGGTACACCTTTTTGAGGCATCCCTATTCATACTTCATGAGGAGTTGCCTATCTAAGGAGACAAAGTAATTGGTCTAACCTGAGTTTTGCAGGGAGGGGCTGGAGAATGATAAAAGAGAGGAAGAGAGGAACTATTGAGCCACCAAAAGGCAGCTGATCTTAAGGGACCACATCTGCATAAAAGACACTATCTGGGGCTGGAGATGTGGCTCAAGCGGTAGCGCGCTCAGCACCACATACAAACAAAGATGTTATGTCTGCCGAATACTAAAAAAATAAATATTAAAAAAACTTCTCTAAAAAAAAAAATAAAAGGCACTATCCTAAATGCTGGATGTCTGCGATGTGATTTAATTATGAGGTATATATCATTTAAACTTTTAATAATTTCAAGTGATTTTTAACAAATAAGGGAAATGAGCATAGAAAACAACTTATTTGTCTGATATTATATGCTTGGTGAACAGAGGAGCCAAGATTCAAGATAAGACCACAGAGACCCTAAGCCACATCACCTCCTGGAAATGAGTCAAACCTGGGACAAATAAAGTAAGAAATAATAAAAGCTATCATATTATTAATAATAGAACGTAAAAGAGCTCTTCTCTTTTCTCTTTCCTTTTTTTCTGAAGTTTCCTGGTTGCTTGCATTTATAGCACACACTGTGTTTGTTCCAGGAAAGGCCAATCACTCAGTAATAGGGACTCTGCAGAGGTGAGTGGCTGTAATGGGGAGACAGCATAATTAGCAACAGGGGAGGGATCTGTTCTGTTATCACAGCCTGGCGGTGATATTTTTCAGGCCTGATGACTTTGCAAGACTGGAGACATGCTTCCTCAGGAAGAGGGAGAGTGACAGAAACATTTCCTCTCTCTGGAGACAGGATTCGGCCAAGGCATGGTCATGAGGGAGGGACTTCGTCAACACTCAATTTAACCTGTAGCACTAACAATTACAAGCTAATAACCTAAAGTATAGCTGGCACAATCTTCTATTCTCAGAATGTGAACAGCAAGGCATTGAGAGATATATATGCAGCATTTTCTTGGAATTTTAGTATTTTATGAAAATACTAGGGAAGAGAACAAGAAAAATTAGTTGGAATTGTGAAAACAAAGAAAGTTATCAAAGAAACACTGCTACAATTCTTGTTTATGCTCAGTTAAAGATGATGGGTTTGTGTCTGGGCGAGATGCATTCATCTAAAAACTTTTCTGACAAATTTACTGCAAACTCAGTTCAACTGGCATATGAGAAAAATAGAACATGTTACTGATTTGAAAGTCAATGAGAAATTTTAGGAATTATTTCATCTAGGAACTCAAATAATGTCCTCAGAACATCCTGGAATTCCAGACTTTCTTCATGGATTCCTTTCAACAAAACTCCACCACCATAACCCAAAATGGCAAAATGACACTCCATAAATCTCCAGACCAATTCATTACCCTTGGCAACGCCAGTGGACAGACAAGACCTCCTATATCACCATCCTCATTTACCTCCTTCCAGATGTCTAGGGAAGGATGGGGATTTACTGTGATTGGATAGAGAGGGTCACATGTTCATCCGATGGCTCATGTGAATACCCAAGCATTATGAGGGTGTTAATATGGGTTAATTCTACCCAAATTACATGACCTCATTGTGGAGGAGGAGAGGTCTTCAAGAAACGTATGAATGCTTTTATGAGAAAAAAAAAATAGAGAAGAGGGAATTGACAGAAAAATAGCTCTTAATATCTGCCTGAAAGGCAAAGATAAGGACAAAATATATTTTAAATGGATAAGAGAAGAAGCTATGCTAGCCAATAATTTGGTGAGGTTAAATGAAATGAGGTAGGAAAAGAAAATAAAAAGTATTGATTGATTAAGTGATTCATTCACGTGATATTCCTTTATTTATTTAAATCTCTAGCAAAAACTGACTCCTCTTTCATGTATAAAAATTCTTTACCTTTTCAACCAGTTCTAGGGGATGCTTTCAAATCAAAGTTAACATGCAATATAGTTTACAAATTTGAGTTAAAAATGGTGAATAACAAGTATTTAAAAATAGATTTCTAGCACAATATTGTTTTTAATCCTGTTCAAATGTTTTATTCATTTCTTCTGTAATTCCTCCCCATATTTAGACTTAGATTTAACAATAGTATTCAATAGTACTCTTTTTTTAGTAACTATCCCTCAAATTAGCTGAATTGTTTGTCTACCAAGAACTAAAATTTCTAAATCCCTGGAACTCTTTAAACACATATTTTCAAGAGCTATTGAAAGATCTAAATCTTCTCAATGTTTTCAAAACAATTATTCAGAAATGGAGATATATATTTCAAGCATATTTTCTTCATTGCATCAAAGAGAGTAAGCAGCAAAAGAAATGGGACAAAGGGGAAAATTCACATCATCCATTCTGCATTTGTTCTCCTTTTTTGTTTTTTTCTTTTATACAGTATCATTTGTGTCTCCAAACCCCAAGAAGCTGAGGGCAGGAGTGTGTCTATTTGTTTTGGCACTGCCAGAGTTATTGTAGGAGCCACTTTTGCTTGCTGAGTTCAAGGAACAATAAATATTAATAATGAGGAGGACAGTTGGACAGTATGACTCAGTGGAAGTTGGGAGGTCATGTGGCAGTTGACCCCCAACATTAAAATTTGTGTTTCAGTGATAGCACTGGAGGTAGATCAGGCCACAAGGGAGGAGGCCCTGCTTTCTCCTTTTTAGTACAAGGATGTTGTAATGCCTCAGAAGAGAAAAACACAATGTTCCCCTCTTTTTCTTCCTGGTTGGAAAGTGGGAATGGCATTGTAGCAAAGTGAGAATGGCAGTGCCAGCATGTCCATAGATGTCTGCTGTCAGAAAATTTTGCAGCCACCATCAATCATAGGACATTATGTTCAGCTGAACACACTTTCCCCAGCATGTTAGCTTAACATCCTTCTGATTCACAGACAGCTAATTTTAGGGATGATAGGGGTTTTGAAATGACAATTCTCTGATTTAAGCAACAGAAACCATTCTATCCTGAACTAAATTTATTTATTTATTAAGTTGTAATCATGACACAATTCCTTGTGAAAATCCCATTTCTTCAAAATGAAGCATCAAGAGTAGCAAGAATTTTCCCACAATGCCTTTACAGGCTGCCATGGGGCTTCACCCCTTAATGGGTTCCTCCAATGAGGTTCCCCAATGAGTAGTGAGTGTACTCATTGTCCAGACTGCTAGGGGTTTGGGAACTCTTTCGATATGTGATAGAGGCAATCAATATATCTTCACTCTATGGGCAGTAGGGGTGGATATTTAACCTAAAGAAGACACAAATTCAAAGAGACAGCACTTCTGTTCTGGCTAAAGATGGATGGATTAGTGCTGCTGCTACAAATGAGATTTTTTTTAAATGATTATTTTAAAAGTTCACTTGGTCTCCATCACATGGCAGAATTCAGTGTTTTAATTTGGGCTTGTTTTTCCTAGTAGAAACTAGGCAGGAGAGAGTTTTCTCTATAATGGCCCTAAATATATTCCCTGTATTAAATCCATAGCTTCACCTTAGGGATGCTTCAGATTCCTCAGCTCTTCCAGATTATTCTGTTCTGGCTTGGGTTAAAGTGTGATTAACTAGTCTTTCCTGAAGGTGTGGGAACTATGCTCAGGGAGAGGAATAGTTTGATTTAATAATTCATTGGAGTAAAAAGTAAATAAATAAATCAGAGACAGTGTGTTCAAAGGCAGAAAGGCCATTAGAGGAAATCGGACACACCAAAACCAGCTAGAGTTACAGGTAAGGAGCCTTCTTTCTATCAATTAGGCTGAGGCTCAGTCCTACAGATGTCCCTCACCCCTGATTTAGCCAACATCACACATTAATTAATTACCTTGGAGCCAAATTAAGAGCTTCGCATGCCATGTGATAACCTCCAAGAATCAAAACTATGGCAGAAACAGCTATTTCAACAAATCCATTTCCTTACCTCCTGAGCATAGAGATAAACTACATTTCCCAGTTTCCCTTGTAGTTAGAATGATCATGTGACTGAATTCTAGCCAATGTAAAGCACACAGAAGTGCTATAAGCCATTTCTAGCCTTGGCCATAAGAATCTCCTCCCAAGGAATTGTTCAAATTCCTTCTTTTCTGCCATCCAAATACAGAAAATTCAGCCAAGAATGAAGAAACCATAAGAGAAGAAAAATCACAATGTAATAAGAGCCTGAATCCCTGAAAGACTGGGTGAAAGGTGTTTCACTGGTCAGGAACAACATTTTATCTTTGATCTACTAAATATAAACTTGTATTGCACTAAGCTGCTAATACAGACTGTTGGTAGTGTTTGTTACAGCAAGCTAGAGTTACTCTGACCACCTCTCCCCTGCCTCCCCACAAAGAAGATATTTAAAAAATAGAAAAGGTCTATGCAAAGATACTTTCAAGTTCCAGTAAACAAAACACAGCCTGTGAACACACTACATACCCACTTGAATCAAATGTATGAAAGGTGATATGTCATGAGCTTTGTAATGTTTTGAACAACCAATAAAAAAAACATAATATATATCAAAGTGCTTTAAGAACTGCTGTGTAAAATTATAAGATACAAAACAAATATCAGTGATTGCTACTATTATGCTTAGCTCTGAAATAAAGTGAAAACCATCCCCTAAATTAAAAAGCTATGGTATGGTCCCATAGAATTGTCTTAATAATCACTTTGAGGTTATAAGTTCCTCTCAAAACAGTTCTGGTTTCAACAATTACCTAGAAATTAGAGTCTAGCATTAAAACTTCATATACTAGAATCTGTGAATTCACAACCAAGGATAGGAATGCATTAGTTTGTGGTCTTAAAAATTCATAGATATCAATAAGAATTGAGAATAAAAATTTGGTAGACTAATATTTGACAATCATAGTAATAACTGTCTCCATTAAGGATCATCTATGGATGCTAAAATAGTGAGATAAAGCTTGTTGAGAAACAGCACTTGAGACAAAAATCATAATTAAGTAGAGACCACAGTAATAACTATTGCATGTAAAAAAAATCTACCAGTGGAAGCTATAATCAAAGGCGAAAGTTTGAAGAAAAATAATATATTTGCAAAGACTAAAAGTATCTTCTGTAAGATATTGATGGAAAAATAGTAATTTTCCAGTGGGAAAAAATGGCAGACACCACTTAACCACGTAAGTAAGGTTGATATCACCAGCAATAAGACAAATCAATATGATAACATGTACTGAGAAAACACAGTGTCACTTCTGTGGCATTGTGAGGTTATGCTACAAATGCATAACCTCAATCTAACCAGAAGAATAAAACAGATAACACTAATTGAAAAAAACTCTAAAAAACAAATGACCAGCACTTGCAAAATGTGTCAAGGTCATGAAAGACCAAAAACACTGAGTAACAACCAACCAAAGATTTGAGGAGAGTGGGACAATACAAAATATGAAACAATGTGGGATCCTGAAATAGAAAAAGTTCATTAGTGAAATTCTACTAAGACCTTAGTTCAGTTAAGATTGTTGCATTTGTGTTAATATCTTCATTTTGAGAATTTCACTGTTTCTGTAATTTGCTTACATGAAAGCAAAACTGGATAGAGGGTATATGGGAATTTTGCATGAATTTAAAAAATGTTCTACAAGTCGAAAATTTTCAAAACAATTTCTAATAGGGGAAAAGATGCTTACATGGTCTCAGAGATACTGATGTATGAATCAAAAATTAGTTCCTTTACAGTGAAGAAGCCCCGCATACACCACCTTAAGGATAACACAATGTTAATATGATTACCAACAGGACAAATGAAAATCAAACACCTCCTGATATGATCCACTAAGAAGATTATAACATCATTTCTGTTACTGTCTTGCAAAAAAAAAAAACATAACTTGAAGTTAAAAATAAGTGAGCTCAGACTGATCCAAATGGAATGACATTCTACAAAATAAATTGCTTTCACTCCAAAACTGCCAATGTGTACAAGGAAGAAAGTCAAAGAAGATTGTTCCAGATAAAAGGAGACAGAAGAGCTATGGCAACTAAATGCATCAAGAGTTCCTGGACCAGAATCTGGGCTAGAGTTCATGTTTCTCTCTCTCTCTCTCTCTCTCTCTCTCTCTCTCTCTCTCTCTCTCTCTCTCTCTCTGTGTGTGTGTGTGTGTGTGTTAAGGAAATAAGTAGGTAATTGGTAAATGTGAAGTATGGAGATTACATAATAAAACTTTATCACTCTTAACATTCTGATTTTGATGATTATATTATGATTATAGGAGAAAGTCCTTTGGCCCAGTAAAACATTTAGGAGTAAGAGAGATATCAACTTATAAACAGGTCAGAAACATTATCTACACACAATCACACACATGAATATATAAAGAAAGAATGAAATATCTAGGTGAAGGACATATGAAACTTTTGGCCATGTTTTGCAGATTTTCTATAAGTCTGAAATTATTTCAAGATAAATTTTTACATTAAGAAAGATACTAGTTTTGCAATTCATATTACTTTCCCTCAAGAACATAAGGATTCAGTTGGGAGATTGAAATAAAACACTAAAGAAATTTAGGCATTCCATGTAACAGAGGCTACTTTTATTACTTATTGAGAATATACTTATAAACTCTGTTACAGTCAGAGGAAGGGAAGAATTTTGATGTAGTAGCAAGTTGCCAAAGAGAAAGACATAAAGGAGACATAAATACATAAAGGAGAAAGAAGGCCCATCTGGATTGTGGAGAATGAAGAAACACGTCCAAGAAGAGAGGTAAGTCATGGAGCTCTCATGGAAAAAACAAATGGTGAATTCTCATCTGAGTTTTCTGGACAGAGGGGAATCAGGTGGACTGGCTTCTCTCCTGTGTCTAGAGGAGACATTGAAATAGCAGTGACCTTATCTCATGAAAGATAATGTTGCCAAAGTCATTCAGGTGAGCTTAGGAAGCATATTGGTGTTCAGATTTTTTTTTTTATCCACAGGAAATAAGGAGTCAACGAAATTTTTTTAAAAATAGTATGAGATGCATCAAGTATTCTACAGCTAATAAATCTAATATTGATTAAAGTGTAAAAGAGTTTGAAGCTTGTAAAGCTACAGGCATATTTTAATTATGATGATTTGGTGATGGAAACATAGATTCCTTGTTTGAGTCAGGTTTTTCACTGCTGCAACTGAAAGACCCAACCAGAACAACTGTAGAGGGGGTCAGGTTAGGGGCTCACAGTTTTAGAGGTCCCTAGAAAGCCAGCTAGCTCTATTCCCCAGGGCTCCAGGTGAGACAGGACATCATGGTGGAAGAGTGTGGCAGAGGGAAACAGCTCACATGATGTTCAGAAAGCAGAGAGAAAGTAACCACCTCTCCAGATACAAAATATATACACCATAGCCATGCCCCCAATGAACCACTTCCTCCAGCCACACCCCACCTGCCTCCAGTTACCACTCAGATAATCCCACCAGGGATTAATTCACTGATTAGGTTAAGGCTGTAACCCAATCATTTCTCCTTCAAACCTTATATTGTCTCACATGTGACTTTTTGGGGGACACCTCACATCCAAACCACAACATTCCTGGAAATGGGAGTGTACATAGAATTAGTAATATATGGGATACCCAATAATCTGGGATCTTGTGACCAATAGAGCTGTTGACATTCTGCAATCAGAATTAGGAGTGTTTGATCCCCTTTATCATCACAGTGCCATTAACCGTTTCTCTAACAGGAGGAAGGACAGGCCTGTAGCATAAATGTGTATTCATTTGAGGTTTACCTTAATATATCCAGGTATATTTTAACCATTAAAATAAATTCAGGTATTTGTCCCTGAAGAATAATTACAGACTTTATCAACCAAGAGGACCTTAAGAGAAGGAGGAATAAAGAAAACCACCTGCTTGACATGTTAACTGACATTAGCTGACAGATGAGGGTGTTGTTTGATAACCCAAACTATAAAGAATCAGAGCATTCAGCAAGGCTTGCTCCCAGTGGAAAACAAGGTGATGGGGTCCTCAGCTAGGGAAAGGGCCGAGGGAATGGAAAGGGAGGTAAATCACAGCTGTGGGATTGAGAGTAAAGCACAAAATCTGAGACTTAGCCTCATACAGTTTCTACTCAAGACTTTGGGAAAAGAGTGAGTTTTGTGAAGAAGGAAATGTATACAGAGGAACAGACTTTGGTAACTTTCTTCGGGTTCTTGCTGCTAAGAAGAGAGAAATACAGCCTGAAAAGACACAGTAGATCTTAGCAGGCATCATGCACAAAAATCAGGATGAATTCATTATTTCAAAGAGATGCTAATCACACTTAATTTACCTCTAGAATAGGCAAACTATACCCACTACTTTGAAAACAATGAGGAGAAAATCAGTCGTTAATACGACATGTTTAAATGTCCTGTATCTTGTTACCCAAAAACCAGTTTGATTCAACCTGTGCCAATGTTGTAGTCCTTTTTTTTTTATTTGTTGTTTTGTTTTGCTTTGTTTTTTGCTGTGACCAAAAGACCAGATAAGGGGGAAAAGTTTATTTTAACTTATGTTTTTGAGGTTCAGTTCATAGTCAGTGGACTCCATAGATCTGGGCCCGAGATGAAGAAGAACATTACGGCAGAAAGGCATGGTGGAGAACTGCTCAGTTCAAGACAGCCAGGAAGCTTCATTCACCAGAGACAAAGTATGAACTCTAAAGACACACCCCCAATGTCCTATTCCTGCATCTACACTATCCTAGCTACCTATAGTCACCACCCAGTACAGAAGTCCTTGCAAATCACTAGTCCATCAAATGATTTAATCCACTGATTAGGTTAGAGCTCTCATAATCTAATCATATCACTTCTGAACATTTCTGCCTTGTCCACACGTAAGCTTTCAGGGGATACCTCCTATCTAAATGATAACACTCCTCTCAGTTACCTTTTTTTTTTGTTTGGGTTTGGTTTTTCCCAACATTTTGGAACTAAACATGTGTTGATAGGATGATCAGAATTTAGACATTATATTTCTTTCAAAAAATTTTCTCTGAGGGTACATAATTTTCCCTAAAACCTTTGAGTACCTTGTGTTGTTTTTTTTTTTAATTTTCAGTAAAATATTTTACCCAAAACCGGATCTGCCACTAAAACCATGAATGATATAATCACTGTCACCTTTTCTCTGGGACAATAATCTGTAAGTAGATTTTGTTGGTCCCCATGCAAAGTTCCCCTTTAAAAATTGAATACTTTTTATCATTTAAAAATTTAATGTTTCCTACTTCTTTGGAGAAATGAGAACAGCCTAAAAGTTATCTCCTTTATGGAATGCAAGTTTCCCATTTTAGGAGAGTCCCCACCATTCCTTATTGTCTTGCTCCCGTCTACCCTTGGTTATGTGACCTGCCTAGTTCCTGTGAACACTTAAATTTGCAACTCTTATCTAGACTTCACTAAGCAAAAGGGGGGGGGGGCAATTATCACTTCTAGGCATTTGAGGAACAATAAAAATCCGTGGAATTTCCCTTGGAAAATAAAGCAAGATTACATCTTCCTACAATTTCTTTTCTTTTCCTCAAGAGATGAGAAAGAACTGTCATTCTTTTCGTCCCTTCTAGACTCTGATGTTGAACAGATGCACAGTAAACTGCCCAAAAGTTATTTGAAAGCATTAGCCTTGAGTAATTTCATAAATTCTTTTACCACCACTTACTTTCCCCAACTGAAAGGGAAAAAAGAAAGATGGAAGAAAGGGAGGGAG